GATCACCCTGTGGCCAGGGTACAGTGCAGTGTTAGCAGCTTTAGCATGACTGGGTTGCGACAGGCAGAAGTGTTCTGTGCTCTGCCCTGGAGTGAGCTTGGTGCTGGCCAGAGCCAGAAGGTAAGTGGCAAGCACTGTGGGTGGGGGGCAAGCAGGAGGAGGGTGATAATGGTTGGGTTCAGGGGGAAAGAGTGCAGGCACTGGGAGGGAGGCCAGGCCACTAGACTCCCCTGCCACCTGTCTCCCTTACTGCTCTTTGCCCTGCCACAACAGTGGGGAGGGGTTGCAAATTTAAGACAACCCTCCAATGATTAGATTCTATACATGGAGAATTATAACAAACTTATAAATATTGTGATGTGAAACTCAACCTCTATTTTTATCAAAGTCAAGGGCTATGCAAATATCATGGTAAATGGTCCTCTTGAGAGATGTTTCTTGAAATAGCTTGAATGTCACAGGCCTTTTAACAAATGCTGTAGAACACAAGTTATAGGTCCTAAAAGCATTTGAAAGTCTGAGGCATTCAGATGTGTTCCTCTTACAATTCTCTTTTCATAAGCTTTGCCTTTTTGCCTTTTCAACTCTGTATCAAAACTACTTCTAGTGTGTTTGTGCTGTCTGCTTCAAAACCAGTCTGTGCTCATGTCATCCCCTGTCAGCTGCTGGTGTAATTAAACATGAAACAATCCATTTTGAGGGGGAAAAAAATATATTGGAAAGCAGAATCCGTCTTTACATGACAAACAAGCTTATGCTCTCTCCTAACATAACTTGTTTGACTTTTTTTGACTAATGTGAACCTCACAGCAGTTGCATTTTTATTTTAACAGGGAGTAATAGAAAAAGTGAAGGAAAGTGACAAATTAGTCGCGACCAGTAAAATCACACCACAAGACAAACAGAACATGGTGAAGCGTGTAAGCAACATGGCTTATGCACTACAAGGTAAAATTTGTCACCTTGCTTCAGACTTTAAAAGGCTAAAATAATCTACAGAGATTTTTTTAAGGAAATACTTATGCTGTATTCATTATTATATTTTTAAAAAAACACCCAAAAACCTAGTCATAAAATACTCTTCCTCAGTATTAAAACATTTTTACAAAGGAGGTGAGATTCCACTCTCTATAAAAGGGAGGAAAAGGAAATAGAAGCACGGTCGAGGAGTGATATTTTTTTTTTAGGGTCACTGCAGGTCAGGGACTGAGCTAGAGACGGAACCCAACTCCCCTGAACCCAAGTTAGATGCCCTAGCCACAGGGTCAGAGCAATTTTTTGAGACTTGTGCTAGAAAAATGTGCTCCTCAGTAATGTTCCTCATCTGCCCAGTGGTGAGAATTTGAGTATGATAAAAAGCAAATGATGCTTTAGTTAATACTGAAATACAAGCATGGATAAGCAAAATAGTACAATTTTGGCAAACCTGCCTTTTAGTTTCAAAGAACAGAAATAGTAGGGGCTTTTTGTGTAGAAGAATTTTGGGAAATTCCCTACTGAAGGGGGATGGGGGGATGGACATAAGTCTTAAGTTATAGTGTTAGAATACCATAATACTAGTAACTGAATATGGAATCTTAAGAAGACTTAATGATGCAACCAATTTTGTATTTAAAAAAAATAATCCACTCCCTTAATGGAAGGTTAAAGTTCAGTTCTGTCTGGAGTACTTTCAGATTTCCCATCCTCCCCCACCACCACTCTGGGCAAGGCTAGACAAAGATGCTTCTTAGTTTCATTCTGACCCATATCTTTTTTAAAAAAGTTGCTGGAAATAAAATGGAGGAGATCTTTTTACTGAAGCAGAGGAAAGGGGAGGATTATAAAATAGGATGCATTAGGACCCAGGTTCCAGGAAGTATTTAAACATGCACCCTGGATCAACCCTTCATATCAACTGAGTTTCCATCTTGTTTTATTTTTTGAATATTTGGGCTCCAGAGGCATATGAGGGAGTTTCCAGCCTTGGATTCCTAACTTGTTCAATTAGGGTCCAGTCCAGCAAAGTATCAGGCACTTAGGGCTGTGCACCACTCCTTGACTTCACTGGGATTACTCATGTGCTTAGAGTTAAGTATGTGCTTGGCCAGGGCAGTGTCAGACTCCGATCCTGAGAGTGAGCACTGACAGTTTAACAAAGGGAACTTCTGTCAGTATGTTGACCAGAAGGAAATGATGCACAGCTGGGCTTTAAGAAATAACAAAAGTGGTTAGGGGTGAGGGAAATAAAAGAGGACTTTAGGATACCAAATCTTTCCTCTTCCTCCAGCAGCATTCTGAAGAAACTGTTTGTTTTCTATATAACAGCTCGGACACAAGCTAGATTTCCTTGTTCTGTGATCCAATACTATCTTGCAAGCTAAATAATAGTCAGCCATGGTCTACAGTTGAATGGGAGATCAAGAAACACTAAGATACTGCAAAGGTGTGGAGGAGTTGGTGACATTATTCCTTCTGAGTCCGTCCGCCCCCACCCCACCCCACCCACAAAAAAACCCAAAAAAACAAAACAACAACAAAAACCCCAGAAAACCCTAGTGTTTCTGTGGAGCATTGAGTAACTCTGGTGGTGTAGCATATGAACTAATAAACAAAAATGGCTAATTTTGACTCTAGCTATTAACGCCAATGTCCTGGTCAAATTCCAAATCAAGCAATTGCATTTTGAATAGCATTTTTAAAATGGATACTTTTTTTGCTTCCTTTACTGAACTGGTGGGCTGCTGAGCTGATGCTTCTGTAGCAGTACACACCAGAAATGCCTGCATTTCAATGCTAGCTCTCCTATGTATGCTTTTTACCTAGTGAGAGGCTTAATATGTTTGGAAAACTACTTCGGAAAAATCACTAGAGGAGTAGGAAGCAGTATTACCCCTAAAATAATGGTAGCAATTGGGTTGAGTGCTGAACTTGTCAAACAATTAGTAATCCAAATAGAGTGAAACTTGTTCTTGTCAATGAACATTTTTCTGAGCTAATTGGTGTCCTGGGTTTGATTACAGCTGAGATGAATCACTTCCATAGTAACCGGATTTATGACTACAATAGTGTGATCCGCCTCTACCTGGAGCAGCAGGCACAGTTTTATGAAACGGTAAGGTGCAGTATTTCAATGGCATTTTCTCAACACATGCTGTGTTGCTGCTTTTATTGGTAAGAAAGACTAGCTGTGGTTAGTACTCCTTTGCATGCACAACTTTCTCCTTTTTAAAAGCAGATGTTTGAAGGGGAATTTTTATATTGGTTAAAGATACAAGAATAAAGGATAAAACTCAAATAACATTACTTATGGAGACCATTACAAAAAAAAAGACAGCATTTGAAACTTTTCTGTATAAAGTTAGACCCAAAATAATTTTAAGAGTATTATATTGCTCACAAAGTCAAGCATTCAATAGTTGGGTAGTGCCAGAATTTAAGGCTGACTGCAACCTTAATCTGACCCTCCTTAGGTGCATATTCATTATAATGCAGACCTTAATTACATTAATAACATATTTGTTTCTATGGGACACAGGCTTCATTCAGTGCATGGGACAGATGAGACTTAGTAAGCAGCTATTGTTTTGTTCAATGTGTTGCACCATTCGTTATTTATTGCACACAACTCAAGCCCTACTTCAGTTGTAAAATCCTCAGTTTCCTCACTCTTTTACGGTACTCAACTGAAATAAATGGGGGCTGTGCTTTGAGAACCTGTATGGTACTAAATACTCTGAAAAATCAGCTCCCAGGTATCTCACCTGAGCACCCAAAAGTAGTGGATACTTTTTTGACTTTATCTTTGTGCTTCAGTTTACCATTGTTAAAATGAGGAAAATATTACCCCTTAAGCTACACAACCCCTGTAAGATAATTGAATGTTTGAAACATGGGATATCAACGGTTGTGGCAGAGAAGAGAGAACAACTGACTAAATAGTCAGGGTTTGGATACTGTGCAGTAAATGAATCTGGGCCACATGTTGAAGTAAACATAATACTAACTGAATATCCATCTATCCTCTGTACTGAATGGGGCAGGGGGTGTATGGGGGAGAAAATGTGGCTAAAGGGTGTCTGATGCACATGAGGGAGTAATTACAGTTGCAGAAGCAGCTTAAGTCAGGCATTTCCTAACTGAGTGCTTTGACTATTCTTTTGATAGATTTTGGGGTGGGGTTGGAATTTCCGATGTGCTCGGAGACGCAGGCTGGAAAACATCCCAACACGTGGTGTCGTAGTAGTGCAGTCTGCATGGGCCTATCAGCAGGACAGGAACTCTAATCTCCACCACACCAGGACTCTTAGTTCAAGTGACAAAGTCTGTCAGTTGATAATAGCAGGCTACCATTCACTATGCGGATCAGCACTAAAGGGTGATATGCTTTCTGCCAGTGGGTTTTGCAAATATACCTTGAGCAGCAGCTGGGGAGTGGTGAGGTCCCTGGAGTGCAGTGGACACACTTCTGCCTGTTTGGGTTTCTTCCCCCTTTCTGCCGTGTCCCTTCCATTCCCTTGTTTCCTTGTCCCAATCTTAGTCATTTTGCCCAGCACCCCTAGTTCCTCTGACTGCTTGTCCTGTCTCTATCAACATCCCTTCATCCCCATTGGCTACCAGTCCTAATCTCCTCATCTCTATCTGCCCCCTCCCAGTTCAGTTAAAAACAGCCCAGCTGTTCTCAGTCCCTGCACCCCATCTTTTTGTCAAATTTGTCTCTTCTTCCCCTGTTCCTGTTTCTTCCCCTCCACTGGTTCTCAGCCACTGTTTATTTCTGGCCTCCCCTCCCTCTCCCCATATCTACTCATTTAATCTCTGAATTTCTCCAGTGTCTCCATCACCTCCCAGGTCAGCCCCCCTCCAGTCTCCCTCCC